GTGGACACTGATGTAATTAAGGAAACATGCAATTCAGCCTCCGGGCTGCAAAATGTTTTTAATCAATAAACCAGTCATCAACTGTGACCATCTCGTAGTGACATTTTGTACGTAGAATCTTACTATAGCTCCTCTACCTCGATACTGATTATATAGCATATATTGATAGACAAATAGTTAAGTTATTCCGTCATGGTGTATAATATTTCCTTGAACATGTTTCCTTCTGTGTTGCTTTTTTTCCATGGATGGAATATTGTCAGAGATGGTGAGTTGATCATAAAACACAGAAATCAAGATTCAGATCAAACACTTTGGCTTGACATTCATTCTCTTAAAATATCTCTTTCAAATTAGATCAGAAACAAAAGTCAGACGCTTGTTACGTTGTAATTGGTCGGTTTGAAACACAGAAGTATGTCATTATGAAGACAGCTTAACGTTCAAACCGACGTCAAATGCACTACTTGGGTAATCAGGCAACTTCACCTTTGACCCAAAGGGCATTCACCTCTGACCTCACGAGACGAAGGAAGGACAAAGCCACAAAAGCTACCCGAGTTCCGGTTTACGTGAAGAGAAAAACCATCATAGGAAGAAGGTAAGGCTTAGAAACGGGCAGAAAAATATTCTATTGTTGAGGGGAATAGTTTAAGACCATTGTTGTGGAAGAAAAACCGCAGTAGGATGATAATTTGTAGGCATTTTCGGGATGTGAATATCGTTAAATTAAAGGGGGAGGGGGGCGAAATCAAACATACGTCCGACCCTCGCCACTTACATGTACGTCAATTTGCATCAGGCAAATTGGCCTTTTTAGAGTACGTGAAAATATATGGACATGTTAATTGTATTGTAAAGAATCGCACAAGGCGTACATTACAAAATGTAGAAATGCTTATAGAACTGATTTGTAAAAACAGTAAATAGAGAAGCCTGGTGACCAAACCTATAGGCTATACTGCTGACTCTCTTTCCAGCCTAGCGAATGGAGTCATTTTACCCATTGTTCGTAGTCGTAGAAGTAATAAATAATATTTTTGATATAAAATGTTTTAAGAGATTGGTTGTGCGAGTGAGTGATTGTAAGATCTCACAAATTATGATTTTGGAACAACATAGAAGCAAACTTATTCAAATGCGAGAGAGACAACACGTTAGAATTATGTTTGGGTTACGTTGTAATGCATTAGTTTTAAATTGTAAATTTTGGTGAAGTTAGAATTCCTTGAAGCTTGTTTTCTATAAATTCTATTTTATCATTGACAGCTTATAACGCTTAATCTGTAGAATTTCTTCATTTTTTTCATTAGGCTGAACATGGCAGCAACAGCACAAGGGTCTCCAACCGAAGTTGGTCAGAACTGCTGTCATGGGTCTCCCACCGGGGTTTCTCAGGTCGACTTTGACATCAAAACAAGCAATGCTGAAGACCTGGCGGCAGCTCATGTCAACTTGGATAACGCTGGTGAGAAACCCTACATATGTGGGAAGTGTGGGTACAGGACAGCTTACAAGGCTGAATTGCCCCGACATATGAGGACCCATACTGGGGAAAAACCCTACCAGTGTGACCAGTGTGACTATTCTGCAACACGGAAGTCCACCTTAGATGATCATAAAGCAAAACACACTGGTGAGAAACCCTACATGTGTGGGGAGTGTGGGTACAGGACAGCTAGAAATTCTGACTTATCCAAACATATGAGAGCCCATACAGGAGAAAAACCCTACAAGTGTGACCAGTGTGACTATTCTGCAGTACGGAAGTCTCATTTAGACGATCATCTCACAAAACACACCGGTGAGAAACCCTACATGTGTGGGGAGTGTGGGTACAGGACAGCTGACAGGTCGAACTTATCCAAGCATATGAGAACCCATACAGGAGAAAAAACCCTACAAGTGTGACCAGTGTAGCTTTTCTTCAGCCTCTAAGACTGCCCTAACTCGACATATAAAAATCCATACAGAGGCACCAAGTCTGCAACTGTGATCATCTCGTAGTGACATTTAGTTTGCACAATCCTGTGTTAACTACTGTTAACTACAGTAATACTACTGTATTACTACTTCTAGGAAGATTTAAAATACGAACCTTGCTATTTCGAAAACAGTTAGGCTAAATATTCTTATGAAAATTATAACACATGTACATGTATTTACAAACAGGCAAAGCTTGATCCAGAGGATGCTCTGTATTTCTAATTACTGTAAAACAATGGTTCAGTCACAAGAATAATTTTAAGTAAAAAAAAACTAATAGTCGAGCCTACATGTAGTAGCTCATATACAAATGTTCTAGTATCGAAAGTTTTTTGAACAAGAAAAACTTTTATAGCCATTTAGGATTGTACTGGAACAACAGTTAACTTGATGGTATTGATTGTACAATGCAGATATACATCGAGTAGTAATGACTATATGTAAGTAATTGTACACATTAGTTAAAAGGTAGGTGGTACTGTTAGCGTTGCGTTTTAACAAACGTACTATATTTGATTTTATGTAGTTTACTTTAACGAAGTGTGTACCTATATGTTATGCAAACAAATATCTTTTGACTAATATCAACGGTCTAAACTAGGATTTGGATTAAAAATACCAAAAAGCCAACAAATTTGCATCAGGTAAATGACTAACGTGTTTTTAACTTTAGTTTCCAACAGTAGGAAGTATTTTATAATAGTAAAAACGTAGGCCTTTTGTTGTATACGAGTAAAAGTTCCTATTTGTTACTCCGTGAAGGAGGTCAGGACCTCCGGACGGAGTGTTGTGATCGGCTGATTTTTCATGTTCGCAGTCAAAACACTGGGTTCTCTTTGTGTAATCGGCACGCAATTTTATACGCCGTCTGCGGGCATGCCCGTGTTGATGCACGAATGTGTATTTTTGCCGTTGCTGCTTTCGCGGTCAATGTAATATTGCAGACGCACCCCTACAATTACGAGGCGAAATTGGAATAGGTCCAGAAAAACGCGTGTTGGAATAGCAGTGGGGGGGTGGAACTTCATGCAGATACGGGGTGGTTTTGATAAGTGGTTCCAGATGTTTTTGCCCATGGTTAAGAGATGCCAAGTTTTTTGGAAGATGTTCGCAGCCAAAACGCATTCTTCCGTACGTCGCATTTCTGTGAAATTTCGCATGTGGTGTGGCATTATGTCCGGGATGATGCACGTCTTTTTATTTTTACCGTAGCTGTTTTGATATTGAAGTAAATGCATATTTTAGAAACATCCCTACTTTTACAATCCTGTGGAATAGGCCGTAGGTTTAGGCAGTTGTCTGGTAGCAGAGGTACTGTAAGCAGATATCCTGGTTATCTGGCCGGCGGTAGTAACACTCGCGGTGCTTACCGCAACTGTTGCTGGAATTTGGCCTGTTCCAGGCGCGCTTAATTAGGTACAGGCACGTTAAGACGGTGGGGCTGTCTTTGTTACTAGACACGACCATGATAGTCCGATCTTTATGTGAATGCAATGATTGTGTGTGTGTAATTAGAATGAACTTCGAACTTGAAGCACAGTATCTTTACACGCCCTGGGAGCAGTAATGGATTTAGCTCTTTGCATGTTTTATGCTTGTGACGCGCCCTCATTGTATTAACCGTTGCCTAATTATAATGTCTGCACAGTAGGTCTAGCCTGGTATCCAGTCTGATCGTGATTGGGGGTATTGGGGTGTTCAGGCAGGTTGTGTCGTCGGGGGCTCTAAGAGCTTCCCCCGCCCAGTGCAACAGACCGTCCCGGTAGGAGTGTTATGCTAATCAGAGACAGTATGCTTGGGGATTTGGTTTCCCCCAACACGATAGGAGGGCTAATTAATCTCTCGTGAAATACACACCGGGAAACCTATGTGAGGCGGGCGGGCCAGAGCTCTTACGGCCCCGAGCTCTTACGGCCCCGACCACGATCAGACTGGATACCAGGTTACAGTAGGTCTGGCGTTGACGCTAAATGTTTTTGTTGAAATGTATAAAACTTCACGGAGGATTGTCACCTATGGCTTCTTGTTTTGAATTACTTTTAGAAGATGTATCTATAGAAACTTTCCGCTGACACAATTAAATCGTTATGTACCTTGAACATGTTTACTTCTGTATTGCCTTTTTTCCTTGGATGGAATATTGTCAGAGGTGGTGAGTTGATCATAAAACACAGAAATCAAGATTCACACCAAACAGTTTGGCTTGACATTCATTCCCTTAAAATATCTCTTTTAAAAGTAGATCAGAAACAAAAGTCAGACGCGTGTTACGTTGTTAAAGTGGTGGGTTTGAAACGCAGAACGTTGACATTTTGAAGAAACACGTAACGTGCCAACTGACATCAAATGTACTACTTGGGTAATCAGGCAAACAAATTTACCTTTGACCCAGATCGAGTTCACCTCTGACCTCACGAGACGAAGGAAGGACAAAGCTGCCCGAGTTCCGGTTTACGTGAAGAGAAAAACCATCATAGGAAGTAGGTAAGGTTTAGAAACGGACAGAAAAATATTCTAATGTTGAGGGGAATAATTTAAGATCATTTCTGTGGAAAAAGAACTGCACTAGGATGATAATTGGTAGGCATTTTCGGGATGTGAATATCGTGGAATTAAAGGGGAGGGGGGCGAAACCTAGCATACGTTCGACCCTCGCCACTTACATGTATATGTACGTCGATTTACATAAGGCAAAGTGGCCTTTTTAGAGTATAATTACTGGTATTTCCAAACTTACTGGCCAAACGGGGCGTAGTAATACATTTTATGGTGGTCATTGATAGTATTAAAATATTTTTCTGACCAAAATTTTCTGATGTTTAATTTTTTGGTCTTAGAAAATTATGGACCAGATAAGCTATGAGATTCCTGTGGGCGAGGTGCCAACTGTGCACCCTGGGAACGAGACAAGCAGCAGTGAGGACCCGGCAACAGACACGGGAGGACAGCAGGACAAGGAAGAGGACATTCTATCGGAGGAAACGTACGGGGTAAACTCTTTCCATCCTCCCGTACAGTCAAACAGAGCAGACGAACGGGCCTGTGGTGAAAGGTACTGTGGACAAACGCTACAAATGTGACCAGTGCGACTATTCCGCTTCACAGAAAGCTCAGTTAGACCGGCACATGGCTAAACACACCGGAGACAAACCCTACATGTGCGGGGAGTGTGGATACAGGACAGCTCACAATTCTGATCTTACTGTTCATAAGAGAAAACATACAGGTGAAAAACCTTACAAATGCGACCAGTGTGACTATTCTGCTGCAAAGAAAAACAATTTAGACATACACATGGCTAAACACACAGGAGACAAACCCTACATGTGTGGGGAGTGCGGATACAGGACAGCTTCCAGATCTTACCTAACAGTGCACATGAGAAAGCATACAGGTGAGAAACCGTACAAATGTTACCAGTGTGACTTTTCTGGTGCAAGGAAATGTGATTTGGACAAACACTTGTTCAAACACACCGGAGAGGCTCCCCACATGTGTGGGGAGTGCGGATACAGGGCGGCTGATAGGTCCCATCTAACTGTACATATGAGAAGACATACAGGAGAGAAACCTTACAAATGTGACCAGTGTGACTATTCTGCTGCACATAAAAGTGATTTGGACCGACACATGTCTAAACACACTGGAGACAAACCCTACATGTGTAAGGAGTGCGGATACAGGACAGCTGACAGGTCCAACCTATCCAAGCATATGAAAAAACATACTGGGGAAAGGCCCTACATGTGTGGGGAGTGTGGATACAGGACCACTAACATGTCTGACCTTCGCAGGCATATGAGAAAACATACTGGCGAAAGACCTTACCAATGTGACCAGTGTGACTACTCTGCTGCACAGAAAGTTCAGTTATTCAGACACATGACTAAACATACTGGAGACAAACGAGAAGTGAGCATGAGAAGTGTGGACTCAGGACAGCTGACAGGTCCAACCTCTCAAAGCATATGAAAAACATATTGGGGAAAGGCCCTACAAATGTGACCAGTGCGGTTATTCTGCTGCACAGAAAAGTGATTTGGACCGACACATGGCTAAACATACTGGAGACAAACCCTACTTGTGTGAGAAACTGTGGATACAGGAAAGCTGACAGACATATGAAAAAGCATACAGGAGACAAATCCTACAAAGGCGACTAGTGTGACGATTCTGCTGCACAAAAGCGGTCGTTTAACAATAGACACACTGCTATTAAACCGAGTATATTAAGTGAAGTGCGGATGGCAAACATATCTCATCTGTCAACGTCCCGCATAGCGAGAACCAAACAGGAAAGAAACCGCCCAACCAGTTCGGAACTTCTGACTTCTTGTCAAAAATACAGGGAAAAAAGTTACAAATGAAACAGATATAAGATCTTAACATGGTTAAACAATCAAACACCCGGTGTTTCTGGAGATTACTTATACAGTGCTGGTGACAGTTTTTTTCGTATCTAATAACCCCATGAGCAAGCATACATTTGAAAACCCAACCAAACGTGAATCTGTCAGTGTGACTAACATATATGTTTTTTTTAAGGCCAAATGGCTTTGATGTCACTGTACACAATGATAATAGTTATGATACTTTCTTCTCTATACGCAGTGTTGATAAGTCCTATATTACTCGTATTTTTCAGACAGGATACTGGAATACTGTTGTTACATTAAGTACTTGAGGAAGGCATACGGTCGGCCAGAAATGCACTGCCGTCCTGAAATCCTTCCCATTGTTTCAATCATACGTTATACTTGTTCATATATATTTTATACCTGTTTATACACTGTATACAATTGTTGTTTACACTTAGATTTAGATACTCTATAGCTATGGTGCAAAAAATTAATAAAATGCTGAAACCGTTCAAAATTTGCTGCACATGTTGATTTGTATTCATTCAGCCCACGTTGTGAATACGTGTACAATCAAATACTGTGTATAACTATCATCATCATCATCATTAGAACATCCACTTTACAAATATCATCTACTGTTAATCGACTGTTTTCTTGTACTGCAATTTAGTGATTATAGAATGATAGCCGTTAAAAATATGTAGTTGATACAGCAAACCGTCAGTAGCTACATAATCCTGGATCTGGGTAATCAGGTTTCTCAACTTTGACCTTTCCCCACAATAGACGTAATTCCAATCTCCGCGGCCATTTTGAAAAGCGGTCCCGGCGCTGCGCGTGATCACGTGATCTTGCACGAAAACGAGACGCCTACTGATGCTTCAGCTAGCCTACACACTGCATTCCAGTGGGGCATCGAGCGGTGCTGCATCTTCTTCTGTAAATTACGCTCTTTTACGGTGAAAAATCGAAATATTTATACGTGTTACGAATAGATAAGGTTGTTGTGAGCATTTGGGTTTAATTTAAGCCGGTAGAAATGACAAATTCCCGCTCATTTTCCGAATTTCTTGACCGAACTCATTGTTTACTACATGTACGTTATACGCTAGCTACGGTCGAGCGCTCGCATGAAAAAATACGTAATATACTGACTTCGTTCGTGCAAAACCTGTATAGAGACGTGAAAATAACAGGTAGACATCCTTGTGGTTAAACATTTAGCGAAATTTTGACGGTTGTTCCGGAAATTTCACGATCGCAAGTCGACATTGGCCAGGCAAGTTAGATATCGTCGTACGTGAATCGTCAAGTGGGGGAGGGGGGCGCTCGTGCGTAATTTCTGTTCTTTCGAAGATTATCCTCTACTTTCTCCGGTAATATTTCAGTTTAACTGGATTAACTTCCACAGAAACGTAAAAATGTTGAACTGAGTTTCTAGCGGGACGAACTTTACCGCAAAAGTGACGGCTGCGAGTCGAAAATTTAATCATTTTTAATACTACGTCACGGTGATGTGCATGCCTTTCTAGTATTTTCGTTTAACTTCGCGGCAAATAATGTACATTTAGGGGGATTA